TGAGACTCTTTAACCTATTTGTTGCTAAAAGCAGTATAAATCTCTCTTCATTTAATGAAATTTTGTTTTGTAAAAAGGGCCAATGTGACACAGATCTCTGAAAGTCACAGCAAATTAATTCAGTGTCTGCAAAATCTGTGTAGTGTGTTCCTTCCACCACCCCACCCCCCTTTTTTTTTTCTCCTTTTTTTTGGAAACAACTAAGAAGGAAAAAATTATCCAGCCTGGTCTGACCTCAGAGCTGACCTAGCTTTCAGGAGGAATGTGAATCAGAGGCCTCCTAAGATCCCTTCCAACTTGAATTATCCTGTGCTCCTGTGAAACCAGAATCAGAGCGAAGGAGGAAAACTGAGGGCTTTCTAAATCAAAACACAGAGACTTGAGGGTTTTTTTGCCTGGAGTGTTTCTTAGTGCCTTGATAATGTCCTCCTGTCCTTCCCATAATCATCACTGTGGGCACTCCAGGCTTACGTGAAGAGCTCTGATCCTGGGGGAGGGAGAGGAGGGGTGAAGGGGGTGGAGGAGAAAATCTGTGGCATTTATTTGATGTGGAAGTGCTTACATCCTATGACAACAGACAGGAGGTGAGAATCAGTGTGACTAATGAGTTGTTTACTTGGCTTTTGTGCACACACACCACCACTCCCACTCCCACCAGGAACATGGGCTGTGTTTGTTTTGATATGTATTGATTTCAGATTCCTGCAAATACCATTGCTTTGTCCTTCACCTTCTCAGCAGTTTGTGCCATACCACTAATCCTGTCTCTTAGTGCCATGGGAATGGTAGGGTATGGCAATTACAATGCAGAATGCTGCTTTTTTCCCCCCTTTCCCATACAATATTAGCATGTTTTCAGCCGGGAGTTGTCATTTCTCTGAGTCCGGACCCAGATCCTGCTTGGAGAACTGAGGTCCCCTTATAAACTCCTGTGAGAACTGGACCCACATGTGGCAGGCCTGCCCTCTGCCATTACTGTTATATTGAGGCTGTCTAAAAAATGTGTGGAAGGGGTAGAGTGTCTCTCTCTGCAGTTTCCTGATGCTCATCCTCAAGGTACCAGACCTAAACTCATGGAAAACAGAAGGGGTAAAAAAGCAGATTTGTTTCAAATGTTGGATTTGGAGGTGTCTGAGTGAATGAGACAATTTGTGATTGTTTCCAGAATTTGTTAGAAGCAGCCTCTGACTCCTTTTGCAGATCTGGCTTGCTCCTTAGGAAAGAGTTACCTGGAGTGTCATAGGAGAAAAATATTTTACACAAGTGACAAACAGTTAAAGAAGGTTTCAGTTTGCACATAAACCCCGGGATCCAGCATGCAGAGTGATGCTGACAGTCCTTGGCTGTAGAAGTGGGAGGGAGCAGGGAGCTGCGAATCTCACAGCAGACCCTGTGGAAGGGTCTGTGCTACAGCTCAATTTTTTTAAAGCTTTGGAAATCTGGGAATATCTTCTGCACTTACGTGAACAGGAGGGAAAAATTGCGGTGTAAATGAGCAAGAGCAGGGACAGGCAGATCCTGGCCCAGGCAGGAAGGGTACAGGGGCTGTGGGAGTGCTTTTGCTGGGCACTGGTGATGTGGGTGCTGGTCTGGTGGGTGTGCTGTTGAGCTGAACACAGCCTGCCAGAGGGAGCATCCCTTGGCATCTTGGAGGAGATCAGAAGAAAGGATGAGTAAATGCTGAATTCAAAGAAAGGGAATAATACAAAACTCATTTTGTGGCTGATGTCGACAGGTGAATTACAATCACATTGAAGGAGGCTCATAAAACGCCGGGGGTCCTTACTTACCTGACTCTTGGTCCGTAGTGAATTCTGATTGTCGGCTGCAGGGCAGCTGCCTGGAGAGGGGCTGGGGGGCGGCTTAGCTGCGTGGGGAGCACGGGAGAGCTTGTTGGGCATCACTTTCTGGTAGCAGCCCCCTTCACCAGCCCTCCTCTGCTTTGCTGTCTGCACAGATAATAACTTTGTTTTCCTTTTTTATTTTCCTTTGAGCATCCTCAGCTATCAAGAGTTCTTTGTTAGACAACAGCTGATGTTTCCAAGGTTGTTTTTAGAAGTTTCCTCCCTATTCCCTGTTTTGGCAGAGCATTTCAAGTGGAGGATTTCTCCCACCATTCTTCGTGACAAGGGCAGTGGGTTTTCCCATGCTGTACCAGAAGCCTCAGGGGAGGCTTCTTGGCTGCTATTGCTGCTCTGCATTACAAGAACCAGTGCTGGCTGGCAGATTAGTCTCCTTTCCCACTCTCCCTTCACCTGAGACTGTTATTACCATTTCTAGCACTTCTTCCACCCTTCACGTGCAGCTGCTCACGCTGCTGCCTGTGATACCAGCTGCTCTGCTGGCTTGGCTGGCTCAGTGTGGCACTGGGCAGAGAGACAGCAGGCACTCTGACAGCAGGCCGTGTTGGCCTTGGGGACACATTGTGCTTTTATTAGGCAAAGCCCGTGTTGAGTGCCACCTGAAGCGCATCCAACGCCAGCCCCTTCCCTCCTCAGTGGGATTAAGCACAACCTTTCCAGCCTGAAGCCACTTGTCGCCCCAGCAGCAGCTGTGCTCTCACCTCCTGGGTGTTCTCCTGCTGTTCAGGTTCTCCAGATGCAACAGAATGTAAAAAAAAAAAAAAAAGAGAGTAATTAAAAAGCAGCTAAACTAGCAATAAATCATTAATTTTGATAGTGACAGAATCAGAGTTGTTTTTCCAGGACACTGATAGTTTCCACTGCTCAGCTCTGCTGCTTAGAATTGTAACAGTTAATGAGAAATGGTTTGGAAACAGCTACTGTTTTAATTGGTGAAGCAATTACTGTTTAGTTTTGACGGTGGAAAATAACTGGATGTAAGGTGTTTCTTTCTTTCCTGTGTTTTTTCAAATTTGTAATTAGGCTTCTCCAATTATGTACTTCTTAAACTTTGGAAGCAGATCTTTCAAATAAGTGTTTACTACCTGCTACTCTTATGCACATAACTTTGTTACGGTGAATAGACTCAGAGGACTTAAAAGGAATATTAATGTGGGTAAAATTACCCCAAAATATAAGTGTTTAGAGGTTGAAGATCTTCCACTGGTAGGGCTCCATTTAATAAATAAATAAATCCAGTGTATCCTTAAAGTAAGGCAAACAAGGTTTCTTTCTGTTGCTGCAAAGTGTAACTTTTTTCTAATATGTCTATCAAAAATGAAAAAATGCAGAAGTCAGCTTTAAGAAGATAGGGCTGTTTGAGTTATTAGGGAGTCAAGTCCTGCTGTGTTATGTATTTTGAATAACTCATCTGCAATCAAGACGAAAACTCGATCTGTTAAACCCAGTGTGAAACAACAAAAGAAATGCAATTGGGGATTAATATTTCTAATATCCTGTGTCATCCCACTATGACCAAGCACTGCTTAATTATAAATACCTTGCCCCTGCCACTGACCCTGCAATCTTAGCAGCACAGACCATGTACATGTGACTTATGCTGGGAGCTAAAGCCCCAAAGCCTCTTTGCTCCCCCCAGATGTGTGAATGTCAAAGAGGAGAAGATGCTGAAGGCAGAGGCAGTGGTACAATGTGTTCCCACATGCCCATTGCATAATGATCTCCTACTGCTCCACACACCCTGTGGCAGAGAGCAGCCAGGAAACCTAAGCTTTTCAGGGTGCCAGCAAGTTTGTTGTGCCTTAAAACTCCTGCCTTAGTGAACAAAATCTGTGAAAGCCACATGTGTTTGGGGAATGCCAAATGCAGGCAAGTGTCATTTTAAATCTCCACCTGGTAGAGTGGCATGGTGTGTAAAAATCCAAATAACTGCTTTATAACAGTTTTCCATTGTACACACGTGTGAGAAGTAGGGACAAGACCAGGCATGAAATGTCTCTTTAGCTCTTTGCATGAATGATCAAGGCTCAAAGGACCCCAGTGCTGGGTTTGCCTGTTTCTGGCTTTACCATGCTGTAGGAGGGGTGCCAACCTGCCTTTCTTCCTTCAGGGTCCTTTTTTGAGAGGGAAGAATTAAAATGTAACCCTCCTGATGTAATAGTAGATGTTGGTCAGACCAAGATTACAATGAAAAGTATTGCAGCCTGTCTATTGCAGACTTTTCTCATCACTATGCACAAGAATACACACTCCCTTGTTACACATCTTGCTCCTATGGTAAAAATTGATTTGAAGAAACACAGATGTAGAAAAACCAACTACTAGGATGTACTTCCTGAGGGCCTGAAGTGCTACAGAATGCTGACTAGGGATAAAACCCAACTATAGCTGTGTTGTTTTGATTTTCTTAAGCTGTACGCAGATCATCACAAAAGCCTTCACTGCACAGTGCTGGAAAATGAGTACCCAATTCTCTTCATTTACAGGAGAAAATTGGAGAGATAACAAATGAAGAGCCTTGTGAAATAATTTCTTAGTGTTTGGGTGCAAACGTCACACCTAAAGGACTGAGACAAGAATACAGTATGTATTTTGTGCAAATAAGCACAGGTAAACTTGGTAGAAAAAGCTGAAGTTATACATCAGCATGCAAGTGCTAGCCATGAAGACTTTTAACTGGGTTTTCTCAGTTGATTCTTTTTCATTCATAAAAGGAAGACTTGCAAATAAAATTCTGTGTAATGATGAAAACTGTATTAACTTTACAATTGTGTTATTCCTAACAAAGGTACTGATTCTACACTGTATGTTTCCCTCCAGCCCGACTCTGACCTCATTTATGCCTTTCCATTACTGTGTCTGGTTAGTAAAGTATGGCTATAATTCTTTAAAAATTATTATTTTTATTGTAAAAATAAAGACAGTAAGCATACTTGGGGTGATGGTGGACAGACTTCAGTAAATTTGGGTAAGGTACCTCTCACCAGGCTGTAGTATAATCTCTAATAGAGCAGTGTTTTCCTTTTTAGGCAGGTGCAGCAAACTAGAAAATGGTGCTAATGGAAGGATTCACTTTTTGTTATGGCACAGACATGCTAGAAGATGCATTGTCTCATGTCCTTCTCTTGTGTGTTACAGATCTGAACACGTCACAGACCCAGGGTCCTCAAACCAGCATTCCAAACCAGGGATCCATCCAGTCACCACAGGTAGATGCACTGCTGCTGAACTCCCAGCCTGAGAGCTTGCAGGACACACAAAGTGAAGACAAAGTAAAGGACAAGATTGTTTACCTCTGATGGCTTGTTTTCTAATCTCAGCAGCACTTTGGAAATGTAACCCTGTTTCCTTTTCTGTAGTTGCAGTCTGAATGACCAGTTGGCTTGAAGAATACTATTGATTATGAAATGCAAAATTTTCTTAATAAATTAGTGGTTAAATAATTTTGGAGCCTTTGTTGTATTATCTTTAATTTATGACATGACTTCAAATGCTTTGCAAGAAGCAGTGTGTAGCAGGGGAGACATAACATTTTGGAATTCACAAATTGCATGAAGTTCAGTGCTGGTCCTCCACTTGGGACACAACAACACCATGCAGCACTACAGGATGGGGGAGGAGTGGCTTTAGTGTTGTTCATCAGAAAGGACTTGGGAGTGCTGGTGGCAGCGGCTCAGTGGGAGCCAAGAGTGTGCACAGGTGGCCAAGAAGGCCAAGGGTGTCTTGACCTGTATCAAGAATAGCGTGGCCAGCAGGACCAGGGCAGTGATCATCTCCCTGTACTCAGCATTGGTGAGGCCACACCTTGAGTACTGTGTTCAGTTTTGGGTCCCTCAATTAAAAAAGGACATTGAGGCACATGAACGAGTCCAGCAAAGGGCAACTAGGCTCATGAAAGGTCTGGTAAGCATGTCATATGAGGAACTGCTGAGGGAGTTGGGTTTGTTTAGCCTTGAGAGGAGGCTCAGAGGTGACCTTATGGCTCTCTACAACTACCTGAAACAGGGTTGTAGAGGGGTGAGTATGGTCTCCTCTGCCATGCCTACAGTGAGAGGACTAGAGGGAATGGTCATAAACTGAGACAGATGAGATTTGGATTAGACATTAGAAGCAATTTTTTCAATGTTAGGGTGGTCAGGCACTGCAATATGTTGCCTAGGAAGGTGATGGAGTCACCACCCCTGGAAGTGTTTAAGAGGTGTTTGGATCTGATGCGGGAGGATGTGATTTAAGGGTTATGGCAAAGCAGCAGGTTAACAGCTGGACTTGATGATCTTAGAGTTCTCCTCCAACCTTGATGATTCTATGATTCTAGGAAGGGTGAAAGTTAGTATTGGTGTTGTCTTGAGTCCTCTTTATAAGGGACAAACCAAGAGAGATGGGTGTGCTATTTGAGAATTCAGAGTGTGGATCAGTAACCTTCTAAGAGTTGTGATATAACATGAGAAGGCAGCAATGTGAGGATTATGACTATAGTCTTCACAGAAAGGTGCTATGTACCCTTAACTATCGTGCCATTTCCTATATCCCCTGTGTCAGGAACTACTTAGAAGAGGATGTTTTTTATGGCCTCAAGATAATTGCATAATTCTAAGTGTTTGTTTATATGCAAAAGCCTATTATCATTTTGGTACTACTGCCAGTTTCTGTGCAGAGATGCAGTTTGTTATTGTATTACAACTGCACCTCATTTCAGTAAGTGCTCTTATGCATTAAAATTTACCAGATGAAGCCATCTCACTGCTGAAAAGAAAAGAAAGGAGGAAAATAATAGGCTTCTAGTTAACAGAACCCTGCTGAAATTCCACTGCCTCCTGTCTGCCCAGCTCATGGGGCAGAGGAGCACTGGACTGCTTCTGCCCATTTGTCTGTGTAAGCCCCAAGTGTCATACAGTTTCCCTTTTACCCTAAGCCTTGTGTTGGGCAAAGTCTTTCGCAGGGAGCAGAGTTTAAGGTAGTGTATGTTTGTCAGCAAGTGTATCCTGATGCAGTAGATTCTCTTCCAGGGTCTGGTGTGCTGTTGAGAATACTCAGAAACAAAGCTGTCTGAACTGCATCTTACTGTACTACCAGATCAGCTGTTCATCTGGTATCTTGGGCAAAAACTGGATGAGTGACTTTCTCAATGAGCAGGATCTGATTTTCAACTGGTATTAACTGGTGTGTCAGTGTCATCGGGGAAAGACTGGGCCTATAGATATATTTTCAAGTGCTATGTTCAGCCTTCAAGACTCCTGCTAACCTGACAGCACTTTTAGTATGTGTCTCCTTAAAAGAGAAAAAACTTTTCAGAGTTTCTAGGAATGTTTTACCTTCTTTATTTTTCACAACTGGACTGAAATTAAAATGTGAATCCAACTTCTCTAAAGGGTCTTGTAGTAAAGACAGTCCACAGCCTCTCTAACCAATCAGTAATGAATTCAGGGTTGCTATCTGAACAGTTTTTTGGCAAATTTCTGAGTAGCAAGAGCCACTTCTTGGGATGCTATATGTCCCAGGATATGTGCATTGCCCAGGGACCTGCAGGAAATTGGGAGAAAATGAGTAGTTTTCTCCAGAGTTACTCTCTCTGCATTTTATTATGCCTTGGCTGAAACATCTGGTACTGGTTACTGTCAAATCCAAGCTGCTGGATGGATAGCTGCTGTCCCAGCCTGGTGTGGGAATTCCCATGTAAGTGTCTTGCAACTGGGAGAGGAAGAGAGGATACTGCTTCTCTCATCAGTTTTAATTGAAGGACTGGGAGTCAAAAAGCGTCTGGCTGGGAATTCAGCTGTTGTGCAAATTGTTCAAGTCCCCTAACATCAGGCAGCACCGTATTTTGCTAAGCAGTGTTTACAGTAAAACATCGGGCGTTTGAGGAAGGCAAAGGCAGGAAACAGGTGGCCTTTAGATTTAGGTATTTTAATTGTAGAAAACGTTTAAAGTATAGGCCAGTATGGTCTCGGCAGGTGCTCTTTATAACAAGATGTATTATGCACCCTTGAACTCTGTCCATTACTTAGGCATTTCTTAATGCTTAACAGAATTTCAACACAGCCCCTGTGAGACTCAGTCATTTTAGCAAGCTGTGTTTTAGTCACCATCAGGCATATATTAATGGTATGTCTTCTTCTTTAATTAGAAAATATATTCAGAAGTTCTCTCCTTCACCTTTTCTACATTATTTTGAAGTGGGCTTATTTGCAAGGCCTGTTGTTTTTAACTCATCCCATATATTGTGTTTCAGTTTTGCTATGCTTCTCAAGGCTTCTTGCCTCTGAAAGCTCAGAATCTAATTTAGTCATACATTTCAGTGCTTAAATTAAAGGAGCAGTTACAGTACTACAAATACACACAGTTCCAGGTTGATCTTTCTCTTTTTTTCAAATCCCTTTTCTCTTTTTTTTCCATCCCTTAACAAAGGGGGCATACCTTTACTATAATACTTACTTTGTCCAGCATTTTTTCCTTAATGTTGTTGTACACTAGTAAAGTTGTCGTTATCAAACAACTTTGAGAGATTTATAAAGGAAACAAGCAACAAAGCTTTTTTTCATTGAGTCTATAGTAATGGTAAAGAAGTAATTTATGAAGGACTCAAGCTTACAGTGGGGTGGATCCAGAACCTTGGATTTATGCATTCAGTCATTTGTAGAATGAGGCCAGAATAGAGCAAATGCTTCACTTGGCTGCAGTTTGATTATTAAGGTAAACAACACACTTAGCTGCATTTTAAGAGGTTTTTCACAAAACTCGTCCATGTTATTTTCAAATGACTAAATTAAATACAGATTAGGCTCTCAGCAAAACTCCCCAAAGGTTGTTTGCTGAAGTGATGAAAAAAAAACCCTGTTAATGTTTTCCATGTAAGAAACATGAATCATTTTACTTAGAGTGCCCTGTGGGCTGCATTAATTTATATACCACCCATTTAGATTAAAAAGGTGAGTAAGATTTTTCACTGCTGCTTAATCAAGGAGGTGCAAATTCTGTAGTAATGTGCCATATTGCTGCTGAAAATGTTTTTGTGGTTGTGTCATTCAAAGAAAAGCAAAGAGGCTGTGCTGTGGCAAGTAATGTGTACAGCTTACTCTGACTGAATTTTGAAAGCAATGAAGAGTTGCAGATGAGGCAGTTTGATGACAAATGGGGAAATAGCATGACTACTTGGACACCTTCTAATGAATATTCTATTGGAGAAGCATTCCAACCCCAAATCCTTCCCATCCAAAGCCTTCACTGTGCCCAGTTATATTGCAGAAGTAGAAACAGGTTAGATGTCTGCCCTTTCTTATGGACTTGCAGTTGATTTGTGCTGTTTTGCCAAGGTAAATGCATGTATTTGTTTTTTTCATCCCTAGTAAAGATTTGTATGTTGAAGCACTGCAGAAGTAGCTGTGAATATTCTTGGTAATCTTATTCAAAAGGACAGCTACATGTTAACTTCTCAAAAGATTTTCCTGCCTCACTAGCTGCCAGGTTCTGAGATAAAACTGTGAGGATGGCCTGAATTCAATGACTTGCATTTTGCATAAAGGCTCCCTTTGGCAGTCTGATGTCAGATTCCTTCAGTATAAAGGAAAAACCTCAAAGGATAACATTTCAGGCATTAATCTGAAGTGTTCTCATCAATACAGTTCTTCAGTGCATCAGAAAATAGACTATTAGCCTTCTTGTATCAGGAGATCATCAAAGGCTAAGCGGATTGTGGAGGAACTTGCAAGGGTTTTATGGGCCCTGGTGGTGAAACAGTCCAGGTACTTCATCTGGAAGTGTCAAAATATTTTCACTGATACGCTGAGAAGTGTTGGCAGCAGTTGTATTCAGGTCAGTAGTTGGCTCCCAAATTCCCAGAGATCTGTTTCTTATCCCGTTGACCATCTATACAGAAGTTTCTTCCTCTTCTCTTGCTCAATCTAGGATGTTCCTACCCCATACATGGAAGGACTCTGCCACGGGGAGGTCTGCAACACCAACCAGATTCTGGATTTGAGTCTTGAAATATCCTGTGTGGAGACCAAGAGACGAAAATATGAAAAAGGCACTCTGGATGTAGAGGAGACAGGAAGAGTGTCCCCTTGCCATGAGATGTTTCTAAACTCCCTCATGGGACAAACCATTTCATTCAGTGAAAAAAAGTCAGTAATTGTCTCACTACCTAGACTGGTCTGAGAACCAGTTAGATGCTGTACTCTTTAATTCCAGTTCTAGACAGAGTGAGGATCAGATATTTACAAAAGTGACAGTGAAACATGCAAACTGAAACAAAGAATTTCTCCTTTAGGAGCTGCTTAACAGACCCAAGAGAATTTTCTCA